TTAAATTGGCTTTGAGTTCGATCTTTCATGTCAATTAAACCTCCTACTTATAAATGCATAGCAGGAGTTCTTGCAAGATGTATTATGTAAAGGAAAGAGCCACCGGCTCAGCACAGAGCACTTCCCCACTGTACCATCAGCTTCAGGGAGAGTTTCACGAAAGTCACACGCAGAGCCCACCGTGGCCGTGAGCAACCAGCTGGGGATTCAAGGTGTTAGCTCCAACGAGGTGGCTCTACCTCGTTGAGCCTTGGGAGCACATGCAGGTAGCCTTGTGCTGGGTGTTGCTGGTTGTCTAAAACAGAAAGAGGAGAAGGGGAGAGAGGGAGAAGGGAGATAAAAAGGTAATAGAGAAAGAAGAGAAACAAACACCATACACCTTTAATACTCTGCAAAGCTTTTTCAAAAATAAGAACTGAACTTTAAAGAACAATGAAAGAAGGGCAGGGGACAGAAGACAGGTGAAGGCGGCCACTGGTTTGCGGGAGGCCTGAAACTGATCTCTGAAATTAACTCCCCGTGAAATATACTGAACCTTCTCTTAGGCAGACTGGAGTAACCATGAGAGACTGTCGTGAGCCTCCAGGAGAAGGGGCTGTGTATACCCCTCGGCGTTTCCGGGAGCACCTAGTAAGTGGCTGTGGAGCTGATCTGCTGCACTCGATTCTGCCCAGTCAGATGCTAACCAATGAGGAGGGTTTTCTGCTGCTCTTTCGAAAGGATTCAATGCTTCAATGATTTCTGAGAAATGGAACTCTAGAACTAAAGACCCTTCAAAAGAAGGTGCATATGGCTGCAGAAATCTTGACTGAAAGTGCTGACCCTGCCACTGATTCGCTTAGTTCTCGGGCTCTGGGGAGTCCTTTAGGCATGTCACTTTTTAAAAACACCACTAAGTACACAAACGGGAAGCAGGGCTAGTAGCCAGGGCCTGAGAAAGGGAGAAATGCAGTGCCCTCTGTGCTAGGCCTCCCCACCTCCTCTGCATTTGCACAACCCAACAATCATCATCTGGGAGATCTCTGTTGCCGATCAGTCTTTGCTATAGTTTTTCTATTTAAAATTTAATAATGGAGAAGCCCTAAACCAGGACTTGAGTTCCCCGTAAGAAAATATATGACTCTGACACTGAAGAACCAGAAGGGTTGCTTGATGTTCCAAAGTAAAAAGTGAAAAGATCTCTAAGTTCCCTTAAGGGATTTCACGGGTCATTGTTTTCTCCTTCCCAGAGAGATTTGGGGTTATGGTGGTGTCTGGTACGGCATCACCTGGATTAAATCTCTGTTGGGCAGGAAATATATCAGCACTTACATCATTTTCAAGAGAGTCCCACGAAGGGATTAAAAAAGTTAAAAAAGTTATAAAAGCAGGAAATCTCTAAAGTATAGTCCGCTCTCTCTGTGGCTCTCAACTTCTCTGGGAACCTCCCAGAAATTACTTAAAAGCCTAAGAGAACACTTACCATGTAGAGACCATGGTAAATATTCAATTCTCACAGGAAGTTCACTTACGAAGCCTGAGAACTCCACACTGGGTTAGCTTTGACCCCACTTGTAATAAGATCTCTAACTACCTCTGTGTGTGCAGTGCCCCCAAACAGGAAAATCAGGAAAAAAGCAAAAACCAAAGAAACATAAAAAGCAAGGTTTAAAAGTGAGGCTCAAAATCAAGAAGAGCAAAGTTCCTTTGAAACACAGAAAATAAAATGTGAAAAGGACCTCTGAAATTATCAAAGGCAACCTCCATTTGATGGAAGGAAACTGAGCCCCAGAATAGTAAAGTGGCCCCACAGCTACTCTTTAGCCATATGAGATCTGTGCCTCCAACAGCCACGGTTTCCCATCCGAGACAGTATCCTCAAGCTTTCCTCTCTTGATGAATGAGTCAATATATGCCAAACTGATTCTGAATTATCCTTTAAAAAATTCCCCTCCACTTCCTAGAATCAGGGTTTGCATGAAATTTGAGAGGTCATTTAGTTCATCCTCTTTACATTAAGCAGAGCTGAGTTTCAGAAATATAACACTCACTTCCTTGTTTGTTTTAAGGCCTACAGAGAAGAAAGTTCTCAATTACTTTGATATTGCCAAGATGTATCGATTCGAAACAATGTTGAAATACCTATAATGGATAATTCACTATGTCATGTCAAATGCGAAATACATTAATTAATCTGGCCTGGATCCTGCTCTCAAGATACCCAATGACGAGTAGGCAAGAGGAGGCTTGCACTAAATACTTATAATATCAGGCAGACTAGGGCCAGGAAATTATTACAGGAGTAGAGAAGATGATGTCTTTATTCCTAGCTGGGGGATGGGTAAAGGGACTTAAAGGCAGCTTTGAGACTGGATTAGGGTTCAGGGAGAAGCAAGGGCATTCTAAACTAGAGACTGTTCAGTCAAATGAAAGGCAGTAGCATACAAGGGGTACATATGGAGAAAACACAGATAACTTCAGTTTTGCAAAAGAAAGCATCTAAGTTGGAGGGTTATAGGATATAAAACTAGGAAGGTGGGTTTAATCCAGAGTGCGTAGGACCTCTGGAGCTAAGAAAAGATGCTTTTTTTCCTTCATTCTGTAGTTCACAGGGTATCATTCATCTGTCCATTATACATACTTTTGTAGCAATGCTTAAGTAATGGGCACCAAGGAAAGGCACTAGGGATGTACATTTGAGAAAAAAACATGGTACCCACCTTCATGGAGCTTAGTCTTCATTGGGAATAACAGATACGTAGGCAATGATTACTGGACAAGAGTGTGAGAAACATCATGGCAGTATGCACAGGGTCACAGGGGAGGGCAGAATTCTAACCAAAAGTCAGACTCGGAAGGGAACAATAAGAGGTATCCCAAAGGAATAAACTGTGAAGATAAGTAGTAGTTTACCTAAACAGAAGAGGAGATGCTGGGTATTCGGGTAAAGTTAAAAGCATGTTAAACATACTTAAAGGTGTGTTTAGAATATAAACTCCATTTGAACCCCCAAGCTATAGGAAACTATGAAATTATTATGCTATCCAAAATAGCAAGACAAATCTGGCAGCAGCATGGAGGGGGAAAAAAATGAAAATAAGAAAAACAAAGAGCAAGTAACTACAAAATGCTTTACTCCAGAATCTAGAAAAACGACAGAGGACCCAAACTGAACCCAGTTCCAATGGGAATGTCACAGAGACAGAATTCATTCAACTGAGCAAACCAAAAACTTAAGGAACAAACGAAATGTCAGGCACCATTTTAGAATGGATAGACCCAAACTGGGCACTAGAAAGAAAAAGCAGACCCAGCAGGAAATCTAGCAGTGAGGAAATATGTAAGAGGCACACAGAGAACAGAACCCACAGAGAAAGAAAGTGAACCTGGAATAAAGGTACATCAAGAAAACAGCAGGAAGAAAGGTTTGTGTGCTGTGGACCCTGGAATGACAAAAAGAAAGCCTTCTGGTGACAAAGACCAACGGTATCCCTCAAAAAAGCAACTCAGGAGAGAAGGGAGCAAAAGACACAAAATCACAAGATTGTGAAAGCTGATTACTCTTCGGAACTCTCAAGAACTTAAACGGAGGACAGAAGAGAGGCTGGTCGTGTGAGAAGCATCATGGGAAATTTTTTTTTTTTTTTGGTAGAGGAGACTTGAAAAAGGCTGTAGGTCAGAAAAAAGAATTCAGAAGAGAGAAAGGATTTATTCATCTTACTGGCAGGTGGTTCTTATTTCTAACCCAAATCTATAACCCAGGTCATTTGATTTTAAAGATGAGAACGTCAAATTTACCATCCTCTAAATGGTGGAGACCTTCCTGTGTCTGGGGCCTATTATTAAAGCACATCTCAGTCTTCACTTCTGGGTAAAAATGCCAATCACTTAGTCCTTTATCATGAGTTTTATTTTCCAAACGTTTAATCATCCCCATGGCTTTTCCTCTCTGTATTCTATCAAGTCTTCTTTGGTGGGGGGAAAAAAACCCACAAGAGGATGCAACAATTTAATCAAGGCTAAGCCTAGATTGAGTTTTTAAAAAGGCAGTTATAGGATGATCCCTCTACGCCAGTAGCTTGCAAACTCATTTTGTTTTGTCTTCAAAGCAAAGGAATCACTTTTTCTAATTAAGTCCTCTGCAAGATAAAACGGGCTTTTCTCATTAGAGGGAGGGTGGGCAAAAGAGAGCCCCACTCACTGGGCGTTCCCGGCGTTCCCCTCCCCACTCTGCAGAAACTACTGCCGTCACTCCAAGCAGCCCCTGGGCTCTGAAACCCCTGTTTTGTGACATACGCTGGTGTATGTGTCCAGGTGTTACATTCACTGTGTAAGTCACAGTACCGTAGTGCTGAACGCTGAGTGTGCTGTTTGTTAGTTTCTAGCATTTCGCATAGAATATCTATGCAAGTTATCTTTCTTATATCATGTAAAAAAAACATGGCCTTGGGGCGCCTGGGTGGCTTAGATGGTTGAGCGTCTGCCTTTGGCTCAGGTCATGATCCCAGGGTCCTGGGATCAAGCCCTGCATCGGGCTCTCTGTTCAGCGGGGAGCCTGCTTCTCCCTCTCCCACTCTGCCTGCTGAGTTCCTGCTCTCGCTGTGTCTCTCTCTTCAAATAAATAAATAAAATCTTAAAAAACAAAACAAAACAAAACACGGCCTTTATCACTATATAACATGTAGATCGTTACTAAAACCTCTTCCTACTTAACAAATGCTATGCAGAATGCTCACCAAATCATCCGAGACATGAGGTACATCTTTTCTAAAGAGCTCCGTGAGAGCTGCAACCTAATGTAAACTCTGCAAGCCAAGTCACTGATGAGCATAGACACCATAGGACACAAACACATGTTTGTTCAAATAAACATTTTTCTTCTTTTTCCCCTCCCAAGAAATATCATAATTAATAAAATTCCTTCTCTACAACCCTAGTAGCACTGCACTCCAGAACGTACAATCTATAAAAAGTGAGAGAAAAGAATCATACAAAGTATATTTGTTCACTTTGATACTAACCTAATAAATTTAACGGCCAGGCCCAGGTCAGCTATACAACAAGTTCCATTTTTCTTCACCAGGATGTTCTTACTTTTCAGATCTCGGTGGGCGATTGCTGGTTTGCCTTGGGTACTAAAGATTTCTGTATGTAAATGACATAAGCCACTGACAGAAGAATAGGCTAACTTCAGCATCGATTTCGTATCTAGGGTGGTGGACTTCAGGTAATCATAGAGGGAACCATTTTCATGATAGTCTGTGATTAGGTACAACTGGGTCCAGGACCCTGTCCCTTTGATATCTGCAGCAATGAACCCTAAAAGGAAGAAAGACAAAAAGGTTTGAAGCCAAGCGTGTTCTGAACACTATCAAGAATAATTCATATTCCCAAATATCGTTCTTTGTCACAGGCGTCTTTGTTTGGCATTTCATTCAGCTTTATGATTATGCCCATGACAGTATTAGATTATTAAAACCAATCAGAGGCAATCAAAACAGTAGAGGTAGAGAAACATTGAGAGTCTGTACCTGAAAACATGATCCCTTTCTTTGTAGTTGATATTTAAGTTATTTTTAAGGTCACAGTAAATAGTTCACGGCATCGTGGTTAGACATAACACTGTTTACGAAACAGGCTCTGGAATCAGGGCATACACTTTTTCCACTTGAATGATTCAGCCACATCATTGCTAACTTGAGAGAATTTTTTTTTTAAAAAAAAGACTCAATCCTGCAGAGAAAACTTTTAGAACTTTCCACAACATTGAACCATGTGTTCCTTCAAATCCCTAAGAAACCCTAAGAAATGCTGGTGCTACATGTGCATTTCCCGTCCCTGAAGAGAAAAACCGTTCGGAGAGTATTCCACTTCCAGCCCACGATCCATTCACAGAAGCGCCTTAGTCATTCCTCCTGTGAGGTCTCCCATCAGGAGCCTGTGACGTTCTTGGGCTCAGGCCAAGGAGCAAACGTCTCTATATTTCATAACAGGTCTAGACAGATGAGTTCATAGGCAGATGTGAACAGAAGCCGGAGGAAAGCCAGGGAACCCTGAACACTGCCGGACCAACTCACCCAGAATGTTCTCATGCCTCATCAACACCGTCTGATACATTTCTGTCTCTCGGAACCAGCTGGCTTCCTCTGTGGTGAAGAACACTTTCACAGCTACCTTTTCGCCACGCCACTTTCCCATCCAAACTTCCCCATAGCGACCTTTTCCAATCTGTTTCACCATCTGAATCTGCTTAGCTATAGTCCTTTGGACCTGTTAAATCCCAAAACATACTGTTAGTGTATTCGCAGCACTACAGATTTGTTTAATCTTTCTTTTTTTTCCTCCAGAGAAGACACAATTACTGCATGCAAAATATATTTAGCCAGTAGTTTTCCTTTATATAGTCACGTTACTTGTATTTATTTATTCATTTATGCTGTCCCCTTTTAAACGTATTTGAGGCTGTGGGTTCTGAATGTTTGAATTATTGTTTCCACATTAAATATTTCCTGCTACCTACTATCATTTTCGTAGGACGGGGGGAACAAAACAAAACCCTGAGTGGGTTCACAGTAATTGGCAAAATAGAGTACTTTTCACTTCCATTTCTGCAGTGGGATACTGGACATTCTGAAGGGACTCATCCACTATACATTTGATTGTGGGTAAACTACAATGAAACAAAATTGTAATGCACTGTTGGATGCACAAAGAAATAAAGGGAATCTCCCAGTTAGGAAGGGGAGGATGGAAGGAGGAGGGTGGGGAGAGGGAGGGAGGGAAGAGCTGAGACCAGAGCAGGGAACAGTAAGCATTAAAAACACACAAAAGCCAGGCTGCTATCTGGGAGAAGAAGAACACCAGCACTGGGATCCGGAATCGAAACCCTGACTTCCTTAAAAGTAGAGAAACTGAACCTGGGCTTAGCATGAAGCTGGGACCACGGAAGGATGCTAAATTTGTCCGAGATTGGTAGCATACCATGGCTCCCAGCAAAAACAAATACAAATCCTCTCCTGGGAAAATCACTGGCAGAATATTTTTCATTCCACCACTGCGGCCAGCTGCTAGATACCTTGAAGGAACTCTTGCCACCACACTAATCATGGTAAAATATAAGAAATAAAAAGCTGTAATGAATTATTGGCCTCACAAAGAAATACAGGAAATTCCCCCAAAGCAGGGAGGGAAAGGGAGGGAAGAACATGGAGGGAAAGAAGGAAGGGAGAGAGGAAAAGAAGATCCCATGGAATAAATTCCTTAAACCAAAAGGAGACAGCCACCATAAGTGAGAGTCAAGAAAAAACAATCCAAGGAGATCGACCCCTGTCAGAATACAGATACTGGGATTCTCAGCTCTAGAATGCCAAGGGACACTATGTGAAATATGTAAAGAAACCGAAGATGAAATGAAAAGAAGGAAGCAGCAAGAAATTCTTGAAAATTAAACTATGAAGTAGAACGGTTACTTGCCACAGTCAAGAAGGTAAACTGGACAGGTCGAGGGAAAAGAGCAGGTTAGATTTGGAGAGGAAATTAAGCTGAAAGAGCTCTCTGAAGAATTAGAGAGAGAGCAGCAGAACAAAGAGAGAGAAAATAGGAGAGGAAGTGGCCTCCAGGTTAAATGTCTCTTCATATACGATCTGCAGCCCATCTGCACTCACAGCAAAATATCTGAAGAACTCCATGACTGAAATGGCTACTACCAATGACAACTGACATAACTTGGGAAGTATATATAAAGAACCTAGCACAGAACTCTTATAAGATCGGTTCAGAAAACTGGAATGTACTCTTTGCAGAGATATGATTTGCATCAAGTAAAGTTGCAGTGTTTCTTTCTGTTTTTACACTTTTAAGGACCATGTACATGGATTACACTGAGTCCACCCAGATAAACCACAGTAATCTCATCTTAAGGTGAGCGAGCTGATTGGCAACCGAAAGTCCCTTTTGCCAGGTAAAATAGCAAATTCCGGGGATTAGACCGTTTTAGGGGGCCATTATTATGCCTACCACAGATGTCTACCAGCGATGGTGGGTTCTGTATTTGCATAATGGATGATTTTATTAATTCAAGAGGTCATACTAACCATTGCCAGAGCCATTAACAGCACCAATATGAGACTGAAAAGCTTTTTGGGAAAAGATAAAATCTTTTTTTTTTTTAATGTTATTTTCTAAAAAGAGGGATTGAAAAATCAAAACATTGCTGACATGCAATTAAGCCACTTAGTCTGAAGGAAGTAAGGAACAATTTAGGAGTCAAACATGCCATACAAGGAAATGTTCAGTGTATTTCCATTTCCACATGGGGGAACAGAAGCCTCAACAGCACTAAGCAGTGGAGAGCCAGATCCCCTAGTAGTTAAATCACGGACTTGAGAGGAAACTTCCCACATTTATTACAGAGATATTATATTTAATTTACAGATGTTACAAAGCATTGCTTATGTAAATCTACGGAACATTTCCTAACACAAACAGTTTTGCATTCGCTTCTTTTCTAACAATAATATATCTTCTTGTAATTTAATGAACATACTAATGGAACTGGCAATGCTTGAAAGAATAGGAACTTAATTAATCCAAAGATAAAAAGTGTCACTAAATTAGATTCAGAAATTTAAAGTGTACTTTTTTTTGAGATTTATCGTAACATCTAAGGAGGAAAACACTGGCAAACAAGTAGGTTTCTGTTCCAAGAGCATAAACATCCGATTCATTAATACTAAAAGGGATTTTCATATCTGTACTTTACTTTTTTAAAAAAATATTACAATACAGGTTTTTAAATATGAGAACTATATCTGCTGCATATTGAATTCTAAGAATAAAAAAACAATCTGATAATAAAAACTTCTATATTTAAAAAAATCTATATCCTGAGTAGTTTCAGTTTGCTCATAATGACTTGTTTTCTGTCTGGTCTATCACCTGGCGAGGACATATTAATCAAAGAGAACAATGTTTCAGTTATGCAAGATGAGTAAGTCTTAAAGATCTGCTGCACAGCCCAGTGCCTACAATTAACAGCAGCATATTCTTAAAATTTTGCTGAAAGAGTAGATCTTACGTATCTTATGTTATGTGTTCTTACACGTAAAATAAAAAAATAACAAAAAATAACATGGGCAGTAGGAAACTCTTGGAGATTAGGGATATGCTTATGGCATAAATTGTGGGTATGGTTTCATGGATATATACTTATCCCCAAACTCTTCAAGTTGTACACATCAAATATACACTTTTATACATTAAATATATATAGGTCTCCTATCTCAAAAAAGTTCTAATTCTTGACTTGAGATTTAAAAAAACAAACAAACAAATACTTTTGGTACTAAAATAAAAGGTCACCAAAACAATCAAGTAAACACGATATCCAAAGTCAGAAGCAGACAATAAAGATTAGGAAACTCAATCTTAAGCGTTTATGAAGGAAAATATTTCTCACTAAAATTGTTATTTTCCATCCCATCAATCTTTTTGCATGGTCTATAAAGGAACCAAGTGTTTTTTTCATTAAAACAAGTGCCTTGGATGCGTTACATGTTTTCTTCATGGTTGGCAGCATTGGCCATCAGAAAATTAAACCTCTCATAAATGGAAAAGCCAGGACTTCGCCCTGAAACATAAGCTCTCCAGCTGAAATGCAGTCTTCTTCCCCTGTAGAAATACTCAGATCCCAGTTGGTTGTAATACTTTTGTCTTCAAATGCCAGGCCAAGTTCGGTAATGCTATCCTTACTGAAAACAGAGGGAAGATGGTCCCACGTTTACTGTTTTCTAATCTGCTTCTTATCAGAATGTCTAAGGATCTGGATTGTAACCATACACTTACATTAAAAAACAGTCACCTTACCCCCAATATGTCAAAATGTTATCAGGAAGCCCTGCATCTGAGATCTGATGTCTAACCTACTGTGTAGAGCTTCTCTTTGTCCGCTAACCTATCTCTTTCAGTAAAATGAAACCCTGTAGTTTATTGACATTTCCTCTCAGAAGGCATTTCCTTTAAATTCGAGATATGTTCTTCTCATACCAGCAGAGGGAGGCCTGATCCACTTCCTGAGCTTTGAGACTGCTCAATTAAGTCTCTCAGGGATTCTCCAGGAGGAATGTATGTTTCATCCTGTTCTAACCCAATGCTGTACCGAGGTCTGGTTTCTTGTCTTTTATACCTAAAGATGTATAGAAGAAGATAATTCAAGATACTGAGTGGCAACAATAGGGGTAAAACACTGCAGATAAAACAGTAATCACAGCAGATTTCATTTTAGCACAAAAGAAGATAAATTTTTAGTATTTATTATCCTTAGTTATGATTTCTAAAATACAAATCATAAGTATTTTGCTAACCTATTTTTAAGTCAACTACATGTTTTTACTTGGTCTCAACCATCTATAATTCTTCTCCGTTCAATTGCCTATTTCTCAGCAGGGATTCCAATAATATTTCCATATAACTTCAATATTCATTCCCTAAAATTTTTCCCCTTAAGGTCCCTAATTAAAGATGAAAATGTGGGATTTACAAAAGACATAGCAGCTAATTCTCTCATCTCAGGTAATGTATAAAGCTATAATACAAATAAATGAAATAAATTTTAACTTAGGAACATTTTATCAATAATTATGCTTCCAATTAGAAATGAATTCACTTGAATCAACTCTTTCTTGCAGGACAGTATCATAAATGAATGCTACAAAAGGCAAATGATAAAAATTTAAAGGTCCTTGATATCTCACAAAGTAGAAAATAAGTTCTTAGGTGAACAAAAATAATTTGTAACTGTCACAACTTCAACAGTCAAGCTTATTTTATTTGAATAACTAATCTATAAATTATGTTGAAGATTTTTCCATATTAAGAGGAAACTGTTAGCTTAAGAAATAAGGGATTACTAGAGTGATTCTGGGTTCAACATGGCCATTTTTCCACTCAGAATCAAACCTTAGTAACAACTAGTTCCTGAATTCCCTAATTACCCTAAATTCCCTAAGGGTGAAGTTTACCTGGGTGACTTTGATGTCTGAAGCAGAAATGAGATAGCTATCTATTAACAAGCTTCATTAAGACAAATATTTATCAATAGTCACTGATATTATCAGGGAAATCTAAGATTTGATTAAGTCAAAGAAAGCTGTGGTGAAAAACATCAACAGGTAGAATAGTCATATGAGGCAGATATTTTAAACCCAAAATTCTACATCTACACGTTGGAAACTTACCTGAAGTAACAGAATAAAATAATAAGGACCAATAGCAAACTACAGACAGTTACAGATATAAGTAAGGCCTTGTGGTGTATAGGTCCGTCAACAAAATCTGAAATTAAAAAGAAAAGGAGCCATAATATGGAGGATATTTTCACTTAAAAATTAGGAAGCAACTCTTTCCCAAAAGTGTTGGCTAAGCCCCATATGCGAGATGTCCCAGGTCCTTTTAATCTGCCCACAGAGAAGAATATGGCATATTGCACGGTAAATATGTACACATATATTCAAAATTACAGAAGTTCAACTAGTGTGAATCATAATTCTCCTAGGCACTGTTTCAAGAGTGTGCATTTCTTCTCCTCTGGAAGGAACAGGCTTGACAAAGAATAAAAGTACAAAGTATGAACAAATGTAAATGGATCAAGGCCCCCAAAATTTAAGTAGGTGGTTCATCTTATTTCCGACCCAGTTGATGGGTTTACAGGTTTTTCTCATGTGGTTTCTGAAGTGTTCCATATCATGAGTTTGGATAAAAGCCTGATCTATATTCTTTGTACATAAAACACACAGTCATCTTATGATGGATACAAAGGAACAGGATTCCTCAAATGTTGCCAAATATAGAATATATGGATGGTGCACCATTTCAAACAAAGATGCCTTTCAAAACCACATAGCTAACTTTTCCATAAATTGCATCATGTTTTAAAACAATGGGTATGTTCTACTCAAAGAATTGTTGTATGATCCTTTTTAAAATAAATTATTAAATATTATTCATGTTGTTTTAACTCCACTTCTTGACAAAGCAGATTTATTTACAGCATGACTTCTCAAACTTCATATAAATAAGAGTAACTTGGAGAGCTGTATACAAATGCATATTTGCTGAATTCAGCCTCAGAGATTTTTATTCCAAGTATTTTATTTTTTACAATCATCCCAGGTGATTTATATGCAAAGAGTCTCTGAAACATATTTTGAGAAAACCGACCTAAAACCAGGTGCACTTATGTAGTAACAGAATTAGCAGTGTTCTTTCTTATGGGCATCATAAACCCTCAAGAAAATGATTACTGTTATTTAATTTTTAAAGGTATTACTGTAATTTATGACTTTGGTTACTATGAACAAGAAGTTTTCCAACTGTGCTGTATACTTTTAACTGCATGGCTACCTAAACATTTTGGCTGGGAACCTTATCCTACTCAGTGTAACATTTTTTTTTCACTCAAAAGTATTATATATCCCATGAATAAAAACTAAAAAGCACCAACTAATGAAATAAATAAAATCGCCACCATCTCGCTACTTAGGAAAATCACTACTAACATTTTAACATATGCCTTTGCAGTATCATTTCAATGAACAGAAAAAAAAAAGTTTATGAGCAAAATATCTCACAAGAAGGCCTTATATACACCCATGTCCATAGCAGCATTATTCACAATTTCACAATAGCTAAAACATGGAGGAAACCCAACTATCCACTGACAGATGAATGGATAAGCGAAATGTGGTATATGTATATACATACCTGGAATATTATTCAACCTTAAAAAGGAAGAAAATTCTGACATATGCTACAACACGATGAATCTGAGCACATTATATCAGGTGAAATAAGCCAGTAATAAAAAGACAAATATTGTGTATGATTCCACTTCTATGAGATATTTAGAGTAGTCAAAATCAAAAGACAAAAAGTAGAATGGTGGTTGCCAGGAGCCGAGGGAAATTAATGTTTAATGGGTATAGTTACAGCCTGCAAGATGAACAGACCTACGGAGATGGAGGAGGGTGATGGTTGTATCACTGGACTTTACACTGAAAAGTGGTTAAGATGGTAAATTTTATGGTATGTGTATTTTACCACAATAATAAAAAAAAAAAAACGATGCTCTATAACTAGATTATTTTCATTGATAATATCGTGAATATTTTCCAAAACAATAAATTTTTTCCCTACAACCTGAGTTTTAAAGACCACATAGTATATACACAGACACGTCCTAATTAGAAAGTGAGTCTTCTGATAATGTATATATATATTTTTAAAAGATTTTATTTATTTTTTGACAGAGAGAGAGACAGCGAGAGAGGGAACACAAGCAGGGGCAGTGGGAGAGGGAGAAGCAGGCTTCCTGTGGAGCAGGGAGCCCGATGCGGGACTCGATCCCAGGACCCTAGGATCATGACCTGAGCTGAAGGCAGACGCTTAACGACTGAGCCACCCAGGCGCCCCCTGATAATGTATATTTAGAAGATTGTAAGGATTTTTCTGTGATACATCCTTGCCGAAATATATAAAATTCTGTGAACACTCTTAAATGTACATCACTGCACATGTCAGTGATTATTTCCTTAATCTAGATTCTTAGAAGTAGAACTATTAGTTCAAAGAATATATATTTTAAGGCTTTTCATACATTTTGTCAAAATATCCTTTTAAAAAGATTACAACAGGGGCACCCGGGTGGCTCAGTCGTTAAGCGTCTGCCTTCGGCTCAGGTCATGATCCCAGAGTCCTGGGATCGAGCCCCACACTGGGCTCCCCGCTCAGCCAGGAGCCTGCTTCTCCCTCTCCCACTCCCCTTGCTTGTGTTCCCTCTCTCACTGTGTCTCTCTCTGTCAAATAAATAAATAAAATCTTAAAAAAAAAAAAAGATTACAACAGTTTCTATTTCACCATCAGTGTGAACATATGTTTTAATTATGTTGAAATAATTTCAGTCTTATAGAAAACCTGTAAGGATAAAGAGCTCTAATGTGCCCTTCCCAGAGATTTCCCATTTTTAAATGTTTACCATATTTGCTTTATAATTCTCTTGCTCTCTCAGTATGGATGTCTTTGTGTCTGTCCATATATATTTGTATTCATATTCATATTTATATTTATTTATATGTATGATTTGTAGATCATTTGAAGTTACAAATATAATGTCCCTACCCATAAACACTTCAGAATGCACTTCCTAAGAACAAGGACATTGTTTTTACAAAATGGTAATAAAACTATCAAAATGAGGAAATTAACATGAACATATAAACGGAAAATAAATCTTACTTTGAAATATTTGCATTTTTGTTATAAATTAAAATCCACAGATCTTTATACTAATTTCTTGTCCAAATCCTGTTATGATTAATGTGATGATTTACTCACATTTATACATTTTACATTAAAACATATGTTTAACCATTATTTATGATCTACAGTACTTGCAAGATATTAATGGAAGTAATCTGCATCCGAAAAGACTAAATAAGAGACCATTAAAGAAAAGCAGTTTTATATAAACCACCTCAGAAACACTGCGAATGGCCCAGATAAAAAGGAGTTCAGGAACTTGACCCACGAAAGGACAGGTCCAAAAAGCCCTCAGGCTTCAGTGCTCATAGAGATCATATAAAGTAGCACATGCGTGTCTGAAAAGTGTTACTTAGGAAATCTGGAAAATAATCCGCAGACTCTTAAAGAAGCCAAGATTTTTACATAATGAATTGTTTCGCAAAATTTCCCTCCATTAGGCTATAGGCAATAAAGCCCAGGTGAGCACAATCCCTCGGCCGGTGAGAGCCCAATTCACTGTGTCTATACACATGCAGGTGCACACATGCCATGGTGCATATACATGCAAACACTGTCCCTGGAAACTTCGCGTAAAACAGGTTTCCAATTTTAAGGATAACAAAGGCAAAAAGCCTGAGTCTGCAAAAAAAAAAATGCTGGATACTCAATTAAAATTACAAGAGCTAACTACTGAAGCACAACGGATGATCAGTATTTGCATACAGAACACTTTTTCATTCAAGTGATTAATTGTACTAAACCTCTCAGGCTCACTGCCTCTTTCCATGTAAGTGCAGAATACACTCTGAATTGTTAGAACACTGTATTTATTACCCATCTTATTCGATGTCTGATTTATGAGAGCAACGAGACTAGAAAGGATCTAAGGGATTCTTTCCTCAACCCTCAAGCTCTTTTTTCTTAAGGCTAGCATTACCTCCCATTTTCCTTTTCTTTGCCCCTAATCCCTGCAACCTCATCTACTGCCTCCTTGTCTTCTGTCATGAATAGGCGATCCTTATCAATAAACCCTTTGTTTCTGTTGGTCATGCTGGTCGTGTTTTAATCTGCCATTACCTGTGCTTCGAGCATTAACAATGTAAACATTCAAGTCACTGCCAGAGTCTCAGAAAGCGAACCCTTCCCGATTCCTATCAGGAAAAGAACAGCGCGCACAGTTCTGTCCTAGGGCAGCAGATCTTTACCTGCACTGTCGCTCGAGCTGCTCAAGGAAGTAGAACGGAGAACCCTCCGGGCAAGTCTGGGGCACTCTTAGAAGCAAGTAAGAATCACCGGTGGTTTCTTAACAAAACAGCATTCTGTCACTACTTGTCTCTTCTTTGATCAGTAAGCAGTTTCTAACTGTGTAAAATGTCAGGGCCTGTTTGGTTTTGTTTTGTTTTGTTTTTAATCAGGCCATAAGATGGTTCCTAATTGCAATAAGAAATGGAAGAAAAAAACTGTGTAGCTAGAAAGAATCTTGGAAATAAGATTGCCCAAAGACATCTCTGCATGTGCTCTCAATATTATAATCATGGATAAATTAGAGATATCTTTCAACTAATAGAGCACAAAGCACCTGAAAAGCATATTTTTATCAGAGGATTTTAGTCAGCAAAGAATACTGTAAAAGTAACTTACTTCCATCTTATATTGGGTTCTCTCTTATAGTAACATCTAGAAGTAAATGGACTGTAACAACAAAGACATAATTTTCTAGTTATTTTCCTGCATAAAAATATCTGGGATTATATTTCTTGGTAACACAGTTGGTTAAGACAGATTTCGTTAATGGATTTTATTATTTACTTATTTTTGTTTTTACATACAGTTGACATATTAGTTTCAGTCATTCAACAGCTCTAGACAATAAACTGTGCTCACCAGGAGAAGTGTAGTTACCATCCGCACCATACGATATTATTACAGTATTAGTGACTAAATTTCCCATGCTATGTTTTTCATAACCATGACTTATTTATTTTATAACTGGAAGTTTGTGCCTCTTAATCCCATTCAGCTATTTTGCACATCCT